CAATGGGTCAGCTGCAGAAGTTTCCTGGGGAGCCTGGAAAATGATGTGAGGTCTGCTAAGAAAAGTGGGGCCAAAAGAGCAGGATCTGCGTCTGGAAGTGTGGGAGAAACAAGGAAGAGAGCAATGCACGGGTCATGCTCTGTCTCCAGGAGGGAGGGTAGCAGGAAAGGCCATGGACTAAAACACCGAAGTGCTGTTCCCTAGGGAGCCCCTGCACAGCACTGAACTTTCTGCACTTTGCTGTCCCTTTCCCAGCAGAGCCAAAGCGTCAGGTGCAGGTGCTGGGGAGCTGAAACTGGCAAGGACAAACTGGGAGGCTGTTTGCAAAGAAGGGGGTAGAAGGAACTCTTGACGTGCTTTCTTTACTTGTTCATCCCACAGCATTGGCACGAGAGGAAATACCTCAGAGGGGCTGGCCTCCAACTAAGCTCTGAATATGTGCGGAGGTTTCAGCGGGGAGAAAAGAGCAGTGGAAGAAAAGCACCCTAAACAGTAGCCAGTGGGGATCATCGAGTTTTGCAGACAAGAAAAACAAGGACAGAGATGAGGGAATCGGTCTCCAATTAATAATGATTTGATGGGTATACGAATCACTGCCGGTTGTTTTCAGTTCCCGCGCCTCGCGCCGGCCCCGCCCCCGGCTCGCACCGCCTCTGCCCGCGCCCCCGAGTCAGGCGGCCGCCTGAGAGGCCAACCGCCATTCTGTCCCCTCCCATGAGGGACAGGCTGACAAGTGGGCAGTGAGGATGACGAGGGGCGGGACAGCCTCAGGTTGTGACCAGGTCTACCCGTTGGACTCGATCACCAGGTCTATCTTTTAAATACGGACACCAGATCTACTTGCCTAAAAGAGACCAGGTCTACCCTTTTGACACAGACACCAGGTCTACCGGCCCCTGAGGGAACGGGGGCGGGGCCCCGCGGAGGGGCCGGGCCGGGCTGGGCGGGCAGAGCGGGCGGGGCCATCCTGGTGCAGCCTGTCCTGCAGCCCCGCCGGGGATGTCCCTGCAGCAGCGCAGCGGGAGAGGAGAGCGCAGCAGGTGCAGCGAGCTGAGGCGGGGCTGTGGCCCGGGAGAGTGTGCATAATCCCCCAAAACCCGCACCTAAATCGAGCCCAAAAGGACCCCAAAGCCCAGAGCCAAACGCCGCGGGATGGTGCTGGCCCCGCCCCCCGGCTCGCACTGGCCCCGCCCCCTGGCCGCCCGGCCCCTCCCTGCCCGTCTCCAAGAACGCCGCTGTCCCCGCAGGCTCCGCCGCCGCTCCCCCTTCCCCTTGTCCCGGGAGAGCTCCCGGACGGGACGTGACCACGGAGTTCCCCCCACCTTTCCCCGGCCCCAGCAGCGCCCGCCGGGGCTGCGGCGGCGGCGGGAGCCGCGCGGAGGGGCCGGGCCGAGCCGAGCCGGGCGGGCAGAGCGGGCGGGGCAGGGCCGCGGGGACAGCGCGGGCTGCGATTGGACGGAGGCGCTCGAGTGCTGATTGGGCAGCCCCTGCCCGGCCCGCGCTATTCAAGGGCGCGCGGGGCCGGCGCAGCTGCGGCTTTTTGAGCGTGAGGGCTGAACTGGGCCCGCTGTGCTGGACCGTGAGAAGGAGAGCGCCGTGTGCTCTGTGCTCGTGGAAGGGGGGAGCTGAGCGTGTTTGGGGCCGCGCCGCGCTGCGCTGTGCTGGGCTGGGGGCAAGAGAGCGCCGTGTCCTCTGTGCTCTTGGAACGGGGCAGCTGGGGCGTGTTTGGGGCCGCGCCGCGCTGTGCTGGGCTGGGGGGAAGAGAGCGCCGTGTCCTCTGTGCTCTTGGAACGGGGCAGCTGGGGCGTGTTTGGGGCCGCACCGCGCTGTGCTGGGCTGGGGGGAAGAGAGCGCCGTGTCCTCTGTGCTCTTGGAACGGGGCAGCTGGGGCGTGTTTGGGGCCGCGCCGCGCTGTGCTGGGGAGAGCGCCGTGTCTTCTGTGCTCGGGGGGGAGAGCGCCGTGTCCTCTGCTTGTGGAACGGGGGGGCTGAGTGGTGTGCTGCGCTGGGGGGAGAGCGTCGTGTCCTCTGTGCTCATGGAACGGGGGGGCTGAGTGGTGTGCTGGGCTGGGGGGAGAGCGCCGTCTCCTCTGTGCTCGGGGGGGAGAGCACCGTGTCCTTTGTGCTCGGGGGGGAGAGCGCCGTGTCCTCTGTACTTGTGGAACGGGGGGGCTGAGCGGTGTGCTGGGCTGGGGGGAGAGCGCCGTCTCCTCTGTGCTTGGGGGGGATAGCGCCGTCTCCTCTGTGCTCGGGGGGGAGAGCACCGTGTCCTTTGTGCTCGGGGGGAAGAGTGCCGTGTCTCTGCTTGTGGAACGGGGGGGCTGAGCGGTGTGCTGTGCTGGGGGGAGAGCGCCGTGTTCTCTGTGCTCGGGGGGCAGAGCGCCGTGTCCTCTGTGCTCATGGAACGGGGGAGCTGAGCGGTGTGCTGGGCTGGGGAGGAAAGTGCTGTGTCCTCTGTGCTCGTGGAACGGGGGAGCTGGGGTGTGTTTGGGGCCGCGCTGTGCTGGGCTGGGGGGAGAGCGCCGTGTCCTCTGTGCTTGTGGAACGGGGGAGCTGGGGGGTGTTTGGCTGCACTCTGTGCTGGGCAGCGGGGCTGGTTATGCCCATTACCTGCCGGGAAGCCTCAGGGGGAGCCGTGGCAAGGCTGAGGGGCTGTTGCTCTCTGGGTGCCTCAAGTTTTGCTTTGGAATCCCAGAGCCTCTCCCTGGGCGGGCTATGAGGTAAAGGCTACTCTAACTCAGTTTTTTGGTGCCGACTTAACGCTCTTTTCTCGTTCTGTGTCCATTTCCAGCCTCCCTCGTGGTTTCCCCTGGTGATGGTGGAGCGTGACAAGTTGTGCTTCCTGCTGGGAGAGAGAAGGACCTTGGAAAGCTGCTCTGCGACCACAGCTGTGCCGAGCCTGGGCGTTTGTACCGGTAAGAGCAGGGCTTATACTCCCAGTGAGGAACTGGGTTTTGCTGTTGGAATGTGGAATATGCATGTGCCTTTTAAATCCAAGGAGGGGTAGAAGCTGGGAGGGACCCTGAGCAGGTTTGGTGGCACGACAGCAGCCTCAAAAGACCTTGACTGTGGGTGAAGTGTCCAGGAAACATTACTCCTTTTTTGCAGGGAGGCAGTTTGACAGGGGGTGCTCTATAGCCTCCGTATCCAAGTGTCAGGAAAAAAGGGGGGATGCTGTCTGAGTTTTGAGGTGTAACGAGAGCTGATACTTTTTGCAGGGGGCTGTGTTATGGAAACTGCACAGACCTGAGCCAGGGGATTGAAAAGGACTAACCCAGCAAGGTAAAGAAAGAAGGAAGAAGGGAACTGAGGCAGCAGCCAAGCAGCACCAAGTTCCTCTGTCAGCAGGTGAGTTGTCTTGAGGTTCCTAAGGCAGGCACTTGGGACTTCGGGGCCTCCAGACAGAGAAGACCTCGGAAACCCTTCGCTGAAGCCCTTCGGAATCCTTATCAGGGTAGGTGTGTATGGTTGTAAGTGCTGGGGAACGTCCTGAGCGTGGAACAGGAATGCAGGGAATAAAATGAACCCTCATGGCATGCTGAGCCCTCCCATCATCTGCAGTGAAGGCACCTCTGTGTGCACTGTGGGAGCTGATGGCCAGGGCCCCCGGTGGGCTGGGATCACTGCAGGGTGTTGTCAGCAAGGAATGCCTGGCTTCTAAAACTCACCAGCTGAGTCTTAGAGGCTTCTTTGCCAAGCTGTTTTCAGGCAGCCAAATTGGCCCCAGGCAGGGACTCTGAGCCTGCTCTCCTGGTGTGCCCAGGGATCTCTGGGCCTTCACGCCGGCACCGAGATGTTCTCGGGAAGGCCCTCAGATCCCCGGAGCAGTCTGGGATACGGGCAAGATCCCCCTGCATTTCAGGGGCAGATTGGGCCCCCCTGGAGGGACAGTGCTGTTGCTGCCCCCGGGCTGGGACACTCGGAGAACTCCAGCGCGCACCGAAATTGTTCTTCGGGGAGCTCCTCCGGGTGCCCCAAGCTGGGGAGCTGAAAGCAAGGTCCCTGGAATGGATTCAGGCATTCCTGAGAGTATCAGAGGTGTAGCTGTCTGTCCTGGCCATGCAGCTCTGGAATGGACTGTAACTGGGTTCTAAAAGTGGTGCTCCAGCTGCAAAAGGAGTGTGGGATTGGAATTAAGGAATGAGTGGTGATGGTACCGTTGGCTGTTTTCTCTTGAGTGGAATTGTGAGAGTTGCAGGAGTGCAAGGTGTGGGTTCCAGTCCCCACCGTTTGGTTTGCACGTGTCCTGGTCAGACACAGGTCCAGCTTCCTCAGCCCTTAACACCCCAGAGGGAGAATTAGGGGATGGCACTGGGAAGGTGATTGGTGTGACAGGGGTTAAGCTGGGAAAACACTGGGTAATTCCTCAATTTGTTTATTTGCAAGCTCCCCTAAGCCTTTGCTAGGAAGAGATGGGTTGGACAAGTTGAGGCAGAAATGAAACTGGAAAATGGGGAGATTGAAATTGTAGTTTCTGAAATTAACTGTGTGAGAGCAGCAGCTCTTTTTGTGCAGGAGATAACTCCTGTCAGCAGCACCGTCCCGACAGAAGTGGCAGATGCAGTTGTTCCTGTGGTATGGGCCAGTGGAAAGCAGTTGTGGCCTATGAAGGACCAGGTTAAACAGTTGTCAAACAGTAGCAGAAGTGACTCTCCAGGTAGCCCAATATAAATATGAGAAGCGAAGAGGTCAAGTAAACCAGTGCATGCTGTGACTGCAGAGGCAGGGATAGGTTGGGATCCCAAAAACTGGGCTGGAGATGCTTGTGATTTAGCAGCTTTAGAGCATGGTTCAGAGGGTGAAGTGTTTGCTGAAGCACAGCCAATAACAGGAGGGAAAGTGGAAGGTGACCCCGATGGTTATCCCGTCAGGCCTGATGTGGTGGAGGATTTTACTCAGCCTGAACTTGCTGGTGTTATGGACAGGTTTAAAAGCAAAGGCCAGAGAGTCTGTGATCTCCTGGGCAGTTGGGCTGCATGACCTGGGAGCCTCTGGGATCAGATTGGACTGGGCAGACAGGGAGCAGTTTTTCCCATGGAGCTGGGCTGGGTTTGTTCAGGATGACTTCGGAGGCAGGGCTGGAGAGGCTCCTTTGTTGGCTGTAGTGGTGGAAGGTTATCCCAGGAGGGCTGGAGCCCTTCGACCTCCTGCTCCCCCCGTGAGCCCCGACGGGACCGTGCACTTGGCAATGGAGGGCCCCCCATTGCTGAGTCAGCGGTTCCGGGGGCCAGCAGGGGTGGGATCAGGATGCCGAGCTCCAGCCCAGGCAGGGCAGGAAATGGTGCAGCCACTGAAAGAAGCGAAGGCAGAGTGAGATGAAGGCCGAGCTCCAGCACAAGGGTGGGTGAGAAAAGCCCATGGCCCTCAGGTGGAGCTTTGAATTCCTTGGAAAAATGGATCTTGTCAAAGGGCTCAGGCCCTTGTGGGTGCTGGAGTGGAGGCCTCTTCAACTGATGGTCACCCTAAAAAGGTGCAAGGACAGCAAGTTTTGAGGACAGGATGAGGTGGCAAACAAGGTGAAGTGGTACAGAGAAAAGCTGAGCTTCAGATTGGTTCTCTGCCACAGCAGCCTTGTGGAGTGCTTATTGCTGTGCCTGACTGTGGAAGGGCAGTGGATATTTCCAAGGGCTGCCTTGTGCTGAGGAACACTGGGGTCAGTTCCCTTTCCCTGGGCAGGGCAGACAGGGCATGTTTACCTGCCCCTCTCGAGGGTGGCCCCATAAGACTTGACTTGATCACCAAATGCAAAGAGTAAATAGAGGGGGTCCATTGGTGACCTTTGGGCATCAGGTAGAACAACTCACTGCTCACCTCTGGGGGGACATATTTACAGCATTCTCACCATCTGATAGGAAGTTTTTGAACACTTTATTCCATCCACTAATCGTAGTAATTACACTTGACTTTATCAACAATATGGAGTTGTTGTCTATGGTATCAACTCCAAGAAGTTGTTTCTCACGCGCCTACTGTGCTTGCGGACTGTGAGTGGAACAGGAGTATCCCCGGCCGCCCAGCATGCTGTTTTGCTTATTTGCATTTTCTATAAATCTTCAATAAATTTTTATTACTATATTTCAACTCAGTTTCATTTTACTTATAACAAGAGGAGAGGAACTGAGAAGTGACACCAAAAAAAAAAAAAATCACACAATCACCATATTACTTGGACTTCATGGAGGTCCAATGCAAATACATTCACAGCAGGCCAGGGCACCACAGCAGCTGGGCTTGCAGGAACACCATCTTCACGTTATGGAGCCAGAGGCTGACAGTTGGGATCCATCCTGGGGGACTGGAGAGCACTCAGGCATCAGGGCCAAGTCCTGCCTGCTCACTGCAGACAGTTCAGCCCCAGCAGCGGTGGGAGTTTCTGCTTCTCCCTCCAAGAGGATTTGGGACCCAACAGCTCAGTACAGTAGAATTTTATCTTCATGAATATTTTACAAAGTTGAGCTTCAGGAGAACTGAGGCACTTTTCATTATTCCGTACTATTCAGGTGCCGCGCTTGCCAGGATCCTTTGGGCACGACGAACCTTCCAGAATGCTCCAAACCTTCACAGCCCACTTGTTCTTCTTGCCACAGTTGGACCGGCTCAGTGTCCCTGCAGAAAGAGAAAATTCAATGATTCTCTCTGAAACCAGAACCTTCCCTGCTTTGCTTTCCCATTCCACGTTTTGTTCCCTACACAACTGAGGCCCTTCCGGGCCTTGCCAAGTGGCAGCCAAGAAATCCAACCCAAGAACCTGCCAGGGAGCAGCCTCTGTGCCACAGCAACAGCATTCCAGGCCTGTCACTGCCGACCCTCCGCTTCACCCAACAGCTCCAGTGGCACCACAACTTGTCCTGAAGGCAGAAAGGCTCCTTTTAGGAGCACCACGAGCCATCTATACTGTAGCACTGGAATTCCATCTTCTGGACAAGCTGGGAGAAGAAGGGAAGAAACCAGGACCTTAAAGGCAAATTAGGAGCACCTGTTCATCCAGCAGCAGCTCCAATAAAGGTACCGAGTCAACACCTCACCAAAGACACAGGACAGCAAGGGCCAACACCTTGACAATCACTTCAGTTTTCAATTTATAAAGCCAAATTAAAGCAAAGCTTTTCAGACACTTGGGAAGACTCAATCCCATTGTAACCAGCTTGTGGGACTCATTCCCAGCCTCCTGAGGTTCATTTCCCACCTCACTCGTGGCTGCACTAGACCTGGTTACACACACACACACAGAAGGAGCTGCTGCAACTTGTCCAGTTTCCTGCTTCTCCTTGAAACTCCTCCAGCTGTTTTCCCAGCTCTCCAGTGTCCATTCCTTTGCCCACTGGACTTGTTCCCAGCCCCAGGGCTGCCAGGGCCACCCTGGGCTCTCACCTGCCCTCACACTGAGTGACCTTTCCCAGCCCCGAGTCCATCCGGCACTGACCGAGCTGCTGGGGGCTGCGGTTCTCCCTGCTCCTTCCCTCCCTCTGCCTGGAGAACACCCCTTCCAGCTCCTGCACCCCCACCTCTTACCTCCCAGAAAAGCAGAGCTGCGTTCCCCCAGATCCTCCGGCTGGACACCGCTGGCTCTGCGCGGCCCCCACCCTTCGGCGGGAATGGTGAAGGGAGCTGGGAGGCCACGGCCCCCGAACCTGCCCGGTCTCCGGCTGCCGCACAGACCTGTTTTGTTGACAAGCGGGGCGCTCGAGGAAACTGTGTTGGGTCCGACTGAGCTGAAGTTCCTTTCCCCGCAGTAGCCCTCCCGATGTGAGGCTTTGCATTCGCAGCTAGAAGGGTGTCAATAACGCTGGTGTTTTGGTTACTGCTGTGCACAGCATCAGCACTGCAACATTCCTTCCTCAGCTGAGGGCAAGATCCTGGGAGGGGACCCAAGTAGGCCAGCTGACCCAAACTGACCAAAGGGGTATTCCAGACCATATGACGTGAGCTCAGATATAAAAGCTGAGGCGTTCATTGTGGGTATCCAATGGATGCCTGCTGAGGAACCGTGACACGTTCCGAAGCCCTGCTTCTTGGGAGTAGCCAACCGTCACTGCTCACGAGAAGCAGAGAATAAACCCTGGTATCTTTCGCTTCTGTGCGCGCACGCTTTGCTTTACTTTTTTGCTTTAAATAAACTGCCTTATCCCAACCCACGAGTTGGGTTTTTTTTTTACACCTTACTCTCTCCCCTGTCCTGCTGGGAAGGGGAGCGATAGAGTGGCTGGGTGGGCACCTGGCATCCGGCCGAGGTCACCCCGGCACGGGGTCCCAGCGGGGAGGAGGGGTCATAACAACGGCGATCTCGAAAAGGGCACGGGGGGTTCCCAGAGGGTGTCAGGGGGTTGCCCGCTCGGGGTCGTTCCCCCTGCCGCGGGGCTCAGGCTGCTCTGAGGGCCGTAGGCCGTGCGGTTGCCGTGGCGACCACCATCACCCAAGATGGCGACGCGGTGCCCGGCCTCGCTTCTCCTTCATACGAATGCGCAGAAATCTCGTCGCTTCCGCCCGGCTTTTGCAGCTCCTGGAGGGGTGGCGGAGGCGGAGTTTCCGGTTCCGGGTGAGGGCGGGGGCGGCGGGAGTGCGGAGGGGCCGCGGAAGGTACGGACCGACTCCCCCCAAAAACCCCCCCGGAGAGATCCCCGCACCCCTCCGGGACACCGCCGGGGCCGCCTCGCAACCCCCGCCCGGGGAGGGGGGAGGGGAGGTACAATGGCGGAGCGCCCGAGACTACCCCGGTGGGACCCTGACCCACCCCCGATGTGACCCCCCCGATGATTCCGTACCTGGGACACCTCCGGCCCGACCCCCCAAACCCCGGGTCCTCTCCCTGCTCTGGACCCCTGCCGGGACCCCTGGAGACCTGACCCTCCCCACCGATCTCACCTCCCCTCCCTAGGGCCCCTCCAAACTCCTCTCAGGGTCACCCACCCCCCAGGACCCTCCTTTCTCCCCTCACCTTGTCACCCTACTCCTGAACCTCCCCCGGGTTCCCCACGCACACGTTTGGGCCCCCAAACCCTGCCAGACCCCCTAGTTTAGGGTTAATGACCCTGACACCCCGTGTCACCTCCCCCTGGTCCTCCCCAGATCCAACACCCCGAAGCCACCTCCCACCCCCCCCAAATTACCTTCCGAGCCCCCCCCCCATTTTTGAGTAGGTGACCCCCCTCTTTCGGGGCCCCTCCTTAACTCTCTTTTCCCCCAGGACCCCCCGACAGCTTCATCCCTGCGGATCCAACGCCTCCCGCTTTGGGGGGTCCCGGCTTTGGGGGGGGGCCTGGCTGAGTGTCCCCCCCCTTTCCCGAGCCTGTGGCCCCCCAGGAAGAGAAAGAGGAGGAGGAGGAGGAGGAGGAGGAGGAGGAAGGAATGGCGGCGCCGTGGCGGGTACTGGAGCCCGCCCAAAAATCCATAAAAATTTACTGATCCCACCTTTTCTGCCCCCAAAAGGAGCTTTGCCTAGGCGACAGTCAGGCCAAAGGCTCCCACATCATGGCTCAGGTAATGAGCCCCCACCCCCCATCCCCAAAATCCCCCAAAGGCCCCCAAATCCCAAGGCCCAGCAGCTTTTTTGGGGAAAAGGAGCCCTGAAATATGGGAAAAAGGGGGAAAATGGGGCCACGGCTCGAGGTCCCCCTTTCCCCTGGGATTATTCCAAATTTTCTTCAGTCTTACTCCAAAGTTTCCCATTTTTTCTGGAATTATGCCCAAATTTCCCATTAATCCTTTGGTCCTGTGAGGCCCCAAATAAGGGGGTTCAGCCCCCCCATCCCCACTTTTGGGGTCTTCCCACTTTTCCCTGGGATCATACTGAATTTTCCCTAAAATTATCCAAATTTTTATGGGATTACCCCCAAATTTCCCATTAATCCTTTGGTTTTGCCACGCCCCAAAAAAGGGAGTTCACCTTCTCCCCCCGCCCCGACTGAGAATCAGCCTGGGATTACTCCAAATTTCCTTGAGATTTTCCCACGTTCCCTTCCAGGGTCTTCTTGGGTTTTTTGGGTCCCTGTTGATGGTGGGGGTCCCTGTCCCACCAGGCGAGTCTTGTAGGGATTTTTTTGGGGGGGGGACTTTTGGGGGGTTTGGCTCACGATGGGGGGGTCCCAGGCAAGTCTCCTAGGGGGTTTTGGGGTCTGTGCCGATAGGAGGGAGTTTGGGGGGGGCTGGGGGGTCTTTGTTGGTGTTGGGGGTCTCTGTCCCCCTCCCAGTGAGTCTCTTGGGGGTTTGGGAGAGTTTTAGGGTCTCTGTTGATGGTGGTGGTCCCTGTGCCCCCCCAGGTGAGTCTCCTGGCCTGTGAGGGGCTCTCGGGGGTCTCTGTTGATGGGGGGGATATCGGGAGGTTTTGGGTGGGTTTAGGGGGGTTAGGGGGTTTTTGGGGTCTCTGTTGATGGTGGGGGTCTCTGTGCCCCCCAGGCAAGTCTCCTGGCCTGTGAGGGGCTCTCGGGGGTCTGCCTGGTCCCCACAGTCGCCAGTAAGAAGATGATGCCCAAGGCTGGAAAACAGGATGGGAATCGGGAAAGAGGCTCCAGCCCTGACCTGCTGGTATGGGATGCGGGGGAACCCCCTGGACTGCAGGGGTCCGGCTCTAATGGGGGGGTTACACCTTCAGTTGGGGGGATTCTGGCTTTAATTTGAGGTTTTTCCTGCTTTAATTTGCTTACTCTTGACTTGTCGTTTTACACCTTTGATTTGTGTTTTCCTGCCTTTAATTTGGCTCTTTCAACATTTAATTTGGGGTTTTCCTGTTTTACAACTTGAAGTGGGGGTTTCCACATTTAATCTGGGACTTTCAGCCTTTAATTTCAGACTTTTCACCTTTAATTCGGGTTTTTCCACCTTTAATTTGGAGGTTTGCTGATTTAATTTGGCTTTGCCCTACTTTTATTTGGTTTTTTTTCTTCTTTAATTGGGCCTTTTCCTTCTTTAATTCAATTTCATTTCCCTTCAGTTGGACTTTTCCTCTTTTGTTTGGGTTTTTTCTCCTTTAATTGGAATTTTCTATCTCCGATTTGCCTTTTCTGCCCTAATTCTGTTATTTATGTTCGATTCCCTCCCCCCCAATTCCATTATCCCCCCTCCCCCATTCCCTGCTCTTTTTAACCCCCGAATTCCCTTTCCGATCTTATCCCGATTCCCAACCCCCCAATCCCGATTCCTGTCTCCCTTCAACCCTCAATTCCTGCCCTCCCTTACCTCACATCCTCCTTCCCGATTCCTGTCCCCCCAATCCCTCCTCCCTGATTTTTCCCCCAATTCCTGCCCCCCTTTAATCCCCCTCCCCGATTCTCAACCCTTCAATGACTCCTCAAATCCCTTCCCATTCCTACCCCCTTTTATGCCCCAAATCCCCCCCCTCCATCCCACCCCCAAATCCCCCCAGTCCCTCCGCCAAGACCCCGACAAGCCCCGCGCCCGCAAGGATGACGACGCCCCCGAGGCCTCCAACCCCAAGAAATCCATGAAAAAGGCAGGTTCCCCTCCCCAACTGGGAGGTCTCCATGGCGTGGGGGGTATCTCTGTGCCCCCCATGCCCGCTAACCTCCCCTGGCCCCCCCGGCAGCGCCGCAAGCGGGTTCCTGGCGCCGAGGGACCCCCGAGCTCATCCCGCCGCTCCCAGTCCCAGGTTTGCCGCCGCCCCCCAGGAGCAGGAGGAGGAGGAAGAGAATCTCCCAAACTCCGGCAGGCGCAGGACGGCCGGGGGGGGGATTTGGGTGGGGCTGCTGGGGGCCCCCCCGGCTCTGAGCTCCCCCAATCTCTACCCCCCCCATGGTTTGTAGATGGTGGTGATCGAGCAAAACGGGTCCTTCCAGCTCAAGAACTTCATCTGTGACCACTGTTTTGGGGCCTTCCGGAGCAGTTACCACCTCAAACGGCACATCCTCATCCACACTGGTGGGGGCACCAATTAATGTTCCCTAATTAACCCCTCCCAGCCTTAATCAGCCCCCTCCTCTCCCCCTATCCTAATTCTCCCCCCAGTTAGGTTAGGTGTTAATTAACCCCCTAGACCCCTCCCAGTTTAGGGGAGAAGCCCTTTGAGTGTGACCTGTGCTCCCTCCCTCCCCGATCCCAACCCCCCCTTAATCCCCCAACTCCCCCTCCTCCCCATTCCAACCCCCCCTAATTATCCCCGGGGATGTTAATTACCCCCCCAACTCCCCCCACTTTAGGGGAGAAGCCCTTTGAGTGCGACGTGTGTGACATGCGCTTCATCCAGAAGTACCACCTGGAGCGGCACAAGCGGGTGCACAGCGGGGAGAAGCCCTACCAGTGCGAGCGCTGTATGCAGGTAATTCCGTGGGAAATCCCACCTGGAATTCCCTGGGAAGCCCCCAGAACCATCCCCACGCCGAATTCCAGCCCTAATCGCCTCCATTCCGCAGAGTTTCTCCCGCACAGACCGGCTCCTGCGGCACAAGCGGATGTGCCAGGGCTGCCAGGGCAAGACTCCCCCTGACTCCCAGCTCCTGCTGTGAAATTCTGGAAATTCTGGGGGTGCTGGAGGAAGGGGGAGCCTCCCTCCTGCACCCCCCACCCTCTGCATCTGCTTCACCTGGATTTTTCACCCCAAGCTGAGAACTCCTAAAAAACCCTGAAGCGCTCCCAGTGTGAAAAACTCGGAGCCTTCCCATTCTTCTGGCCTAAAAACTGGGATAATGAGCCCAAAAATTCTCCTGGAATCTTCAAGGTGTGCCCTCCTCATCGTTGGATCCCTAAATCCACCCCACATTCCCCCCCAGGACAGACTGGGAGCCCCCAAACTGCCCCAAATCCCATCGGGTTTGGGGTACCTGGGACACAGGTAGGAGGGTCCCGCTAGGAATGACATCTCCAATCCTGCTTTTTTGGGGGAAAAAGAGGGAAAAATGAGGATTTTGGGAGAGTGTCTTGGCTTCAGAGGAAGGCAAATTCCCCCTTTTTATGGAAAACGGGAACAGAATGAGGAATTTGGGGGTGTCCCCATTGTGGGACTCGGCAGCGCTTCCCATTCCTTCTGGAATTCCTGTGGATTTTGGGGAGGTTTCCCCTGTTTCCACATGGTTTTGGGGAGGCTCCCTGTGTCCCCCCCCTGCCTGTGAGGGGGCTGCACCCGGAGGGGGGAGCAAAGGGACCGCCATTTTCCAGAAAACCCCATTCCCAGGGGGAGGAAAATCCTGGAAAACCCCATTCTCTGGGATGGAAAAACTGTGGATCTGCTGAGGGGGGGTGGTTGTAGGATGCAGGACCCCCCAAAAACTCTGAGGGTCCCCCTAATGTTCCCCCCAGTTTTCGGGTCTCATGCCGCCCCCAGTCACAGAATGCTCTGAGGGGAAACAAAGCTCATGAATTTTTGGCCCCCCGTTTTTTGGTGCCCTGACCCCCCTTTCTGGACCTGAAGGACTCTGGGGACACCACTCCCTCCCCCCCCAGTGATGCTTCAAAAAAGGCTTTGGCTCTGCTGAGCCCCCCCCAGCCCCCAAATTTAGGGGTTGGGGGTAATTGTGAGGAGCTCCAGGGGGTGGTTTGAGGGGGTTGAGGGGATGCTGGGGGTTTAGGGCCCCCTAAGCCTGGGGTGGCCACACACACACCACCCCCTGCCCTCCCCAGCTACATTTTTGGGGTATTTTGTTGGGTTTTTCGGGTTTATTACAGTTATTTTGCTATGGGGGGAGGAGGAGGGGTCACCCCAGGGTGGGTGGGTGGGGTCACTTTTAAACGGTAGTTTTTTCTAAGGGTCCTCAAATCTCGTGTCCCACCCCCCCCGTGTCCCCAAAATGTCATCCTTTTTCCCACACACACACCCCCTGTGTGCCCCCCCCGCCTTCCTTTAGGGTTTATTTAAATAAAACTTTGGGGTTTTGCTTTTTTAACCCAAATTTGATTTCTTCAGGGGCAGGGGGGGCAGTATTTGGGGGGACCCCCAGAACCTATTTGTGCTTCCTCCCCCAGACCCAAAAATGGCAGGGGAGTCCCCAAGTTTGGAGGGGTTCCCAGTGCCACACCCTGTTATCCCTGAGGGGATGTCGCAATGCGGGGGGCTCCTAAGTGCCCCTCTGCCAAATAATCAAGGAGTGCCACCACCCCCACCCCATTGGTGCCCTGTATCACCTCGTGGGGGTTCCCGAGCCTCCCTTTCCCCTCTTAGACGTCCTTGCCTTCCCAAAATGCACAAACCCCCCCCAAAAAAAAAATTTTCATCACTTTATTTTGCAAAAATAGAAAAGTCCCGAGACCTCCCCTCAGCGCAGAGGGATGGGGAGGAGCTGTAAGCTATGGCTGGGGGGCCCCCCAAAAATGGGGGGTGGCTAGCAGTGGGAGGGGGGCAGCGGTGGGGGCCCAATGTAAACGCAGAGGAATAAATAAAGGGGGGGGGGGTGAAAGTGCTGCCCCAGGGGGAAGAGTCACCACCCCCCCATAGTGTAACAGATCCCACCCAAGGGGGAGGGGGGCAAATTCAGGAGGGAGGCAGCAAGCCCTGGCCCCCCCCACCCAGCCAGGCTTGGGGGGGACGGGTAACAGATATTTGGGGGTGGCCACCCCCCCCCAACGCTGCCCTAGGTGGGGGACTGGGGTCACCCTATGGCTTGAGAACCACCCAAAATGGGGGAAGTTGGGGGAGTCATCTTGTGTTCCCCCCCATCTTTGGTCTCTGTAGTGTATAGGGAAGAGGGTGGGGAGAGGAATTTTGGGGTCCCCTCACCCCCAACAACATATAAATGGGGACCCACCAAACTGGGGGGGGACTGTCCTGGGCGACATAATGGGGGTGCTGCCCCCCACCCCCCGCCAAAATCCACCCTGTGTCCAGTAAATAAACCCCCAGGAGAGTATTTAGGGGCACCCCAGGAGTGTTAATTTGGGGGAGGGAGGGATGCCTGTCTTAAAATTCCTCTCAATACAAGATGGGGGGCAGCGGAGGGCTGGGGGCTTTGGTTGAAGCTGAGTTTGGGAGAGTCCTAGACCCCCAGTTTAAGGCAATAGCTTTGCTCTGTCAGTCTCTGACCCCTAACTCGGGGGGCACTTTGGGGTCTCTCCCCCCTCCAGAGCAAAAGGGGGGGACCGTGGAAGGCAGCTGCGAGTGCCCCCACCATGGGGGCTCTGGGGAGTTGGGGGGGTTACGGGGATTTGCGGAGGCCGGGGGGGCTGTCCTGGGCCGTGGGAGGGTCTGGGGGCAGGGGGGGGCCCCCCTGGCTCCCCTCGGTGAAGATCTCAGGGTTCTCCAGCATCTCCCGGATCAGGGGGGGCATCGGCCCCGGGATCTCCGTGCGCAGTGTCAGGGCCCGTTCTGCCCCTGGTGGGGGGCATAGTGTGAGTGCCCCCCTCCTCCAATAATTAACATCTCCCCCAGGGGCTTAAAATTTCTCCCGAGAGCTTAGACCTGCCCCATCCTGAGAGCTTGGAGCTCCCAAAACAAGCTCAAAAGTCCACCAAGAGCTTGAACCCCCCTAAAACTATGAACCCTCCCCCTGAGAGTTCCAACTCCCTGCAAAAAGACCTTGAATCCCCCCAAACTACCTTCAACTCCCCCAAATTTAAGCCCCTTCAAGAGCTTGAACCCCCCAAATTTCAACCCCCTCCTAGAGCTTTAGCACCCCCAAAGACTTTGAATCCCCCTCAAATGAGCTTCAACCCCCCCCCCCAAGACCTTCAACCTCCCCCAAAACTTTGAACACCGCCTGAGAGTTTCAACTCCCCCTCCTGCAAAACCTTGAATCCCCCAAAACCTTGGACAGTCCCCCTCCAATACCTTAGACCTCCCCCCTCAAAATGAGGCTTGGGGAGGTCCCAGAGAACAATTCTGGGGTGTTGAGAGGAGGTGTTTGGGGGATTTGGGGGTCAAAGGGGCTCAGAGGGGTCCCAGGGGGCCTCTGGGGGCTGTTCCTGTCTAAGGGCAGTCCCAGGGGTCTCACCCTTGGTGCTGATGCCATGCAGGTTGGTGATTTTGAGCACTTGGGAGAAGCACTGGGGTTGGGGTGGGTTTTCAGGGTGTCCCAGGGGTGTTGGGCTGTCAGGAGGGGCTGTACCTTTTCGGGGGGGTGTATTGGTTTGGGGGTCCCGAGGGTCTCACCCTTGGTGCTGATGCCGCGCAGGTCAGTGATTTTGAGCAGCATTCGGGGAAATCGCTGCGGTTGCCGTGGCCGTCGCCGCCGCGCGTAAACCCGGAGAGCCTCAAGCAGCGGCTCCTGCAGCCGCTCCACGCGCCGGGGCTGCTCCAGCTCCATCCGGTCTGGGGGGACAGAGACCCCCGGGATGTGACCACCAGGACAGTGTCCCTGTGTCCCCATATTCCCATGTCCCCTCTATCCTCCCATCCCTGTCCTCTCCTGCCCTGCAGATCCCAGTGTCACTGTGTCCCCACATGCCCACCATTGTCTCCTGTCCTAGGAGACACGTCCCGCAGCCTGGTTCCCAAGCCCCCCATGTGCCCCAATACCCATGTCCCTGATGACCCCCCCAATGTCCCCCTGTCCCCAGTGTCCCCCCACCTCTCCACGACGCCAATGGCCCTGAGCAGCCCTGTCTCGGTCCTATGTCTCTTATACCCCTTATACCCCTCCTATCCCCGAACCCCTGATACTCCCCAAACCTCCTGGTGTCTCCCCCATGTCCCCACTCATGTCGTCACCTCCACAGATGAGGCCAATGGCTGTGAGCAGCCCCAACTCAGTGTCACTGAGCTGCTGGGGCAGGAGCTGCCCTGGTGTGACCCCCATATTCCTGATATCCCATGTGCCCCTGGTGTCCCTCACATCCCCCCACCTCCACAGATGAGGCAGATGGCACTAAGCAGCCCTGTCTCAGTGTCATCGAGCTGTAGGGGCAGGAGCTGCCCCGCGAAGGCGAACACAAGGTCGGTGAGGGGCCCAAACCCTGCGTTGTGCATCTGGGTCCTGGTCAGGGTAAGCCCGTCCGAGAATGTCATCGTGTCCTGCTCAGGGGTGTATCGGGTACAAATCCGCAGCATCTGGGGGTCAGGGTACCCCAAAATCAGCCAGGGACCCCCCCAAAACACCCCCCCCCCCAAGTCAGCCCATCCCATAATGTCCTCATCTCTTGCTCAGGCTGTAACAGGGGCAGATCTGCAGCATCTGGGGGTCATGGGGGTCAGGGAATCCCAAAATCATGCAGGGGTCACCAAAATCCCCCCACCCAGGGACCCCAAATATCCACCCAGGGACATCAAAGCCCCTCAAGAGACCCTGAAATTTCCATAGGGGACCCCCAAACCCACCCAGCCCCTCTCCAGGACATCCATGTGTGGTTGGTGAGGTCAGAGCCACCATGGGACCCCCCAAATCCCCTGAGGAACCCCCAAACCTCCTCCAGGAACCCCAAACACCCTCCAGGACCCCACATCCCCTGATGCCCACCAGGATGTCAAGGCAGGCAGCCTTGAGCAGGGTGATCTGGTCAGCCATGCTGAGCCCTGTGAACCCGGGGATCCGCTTCGCAAACTCCACGATCTTGATGATGCACTTCGTGGCCAGTTCGCTGAACTTGTCCCACAGCCCCAGGTCCAGCTGCACGCGGTGGTCTGCACTCGAGTTCTGGGGGGCACAGACCCTGTCAGGGTGGTTCAGGGTGGACTGGAACCTCCTCAGACCTCTAGAAACCCCTGGGATCACTGGGACCCCCAAAAGCCTCCTGTGGACCCCTCCCCAGCACCTCTCTGCCTCTGACTCCAGCTGCCCTAGTGCTCAGATCTGGTGTTCTGGGGGGCCAGGGGGTCCAGGAACCCCTCTAAGGGTCTGAGGATTGGGGTGCCCCCCTCAGAGACCCCCAAAACTCCCTACGACCGCCTCGGAACTCCTGGGACCCCTCCCCAGCACCCCTGCCCCTGAACTTGCCCCCCAGCCCCAGCTGCCCCCAGAGCTCAGATCTTGTGTTTTGGGGGGTCAGGGTTGCTCAGTGAACCCTCCATGGATCCAAGGATTGGGGTGCCACCCTAGTGCCCACCCAGGGACCCCCCGGAACCCCTAGTCCCACTCACCGTGGTGTACTTGCCCAGCTGGCACAGAGAGGGGAAGGTCTCCTGGTGGGCTCTGCTCACCCTCCGCACCAGCTCGGCCAACTCAGGGCTCAGCTCGTCTCCCCCCAAATCCTCCTTCACCTCCTTCCTCCGCTTGCTCTGGTCGTTCCTCACAGCTGGGGGTGGCAGGGAATTTGGGGGGCTGGGGGAGGTTCAGGGGTGATCCCCCCAGAACCCTGACAGACCCAAAAATTCCCCCCGGCACAGGACCATCCCCACCCTGAGCTTCCCCCAGCCCCATTGTGATAACCCTGAGACCCCTCAGCACCACTTGGGGGGGGTCCCAAATTTTTGGGGGGTCCTGGAGCTCCCCCGCACCTTCCTTGGACATCCCAACCCGGAGGCACTTCTGCAGGCGGCAGAACTGGCAACGGTTCCGCGTCACTTTGTCGATGGGGCAGTTCCGCTCCCGGGGACACGTGTACACCATGTTCTTCTGGATGCTGCGCCGGAAAAACCCCTGGAATTGTGGGGAACAGGGGGTCAGTGGGGCTGGTGGGACCCCCAAAATGGGGGCAGTGGGAACAGGGCACTGGGGGTCCCAGTAAGACTGCCCAGGGTTAACTGGGGGCTCCCCAGTGGCTCCAAAGGGGTTGTTGGAGTGACTGGGGTCACTCACTATTGGGGAGGGTCCCAGGGCTTTGGAGGGGTTCCCAGTACCCTGGGGGAAAGGGGAGGCAAAAACGGGCTGAAGGGGGTCTAGGAGTACCCCCAAACTGGAGGCACCAGGAACAGATCACCAGGGATCCCAGAAAAGCTGCCCGGGGTCAACTAGGGGGGTCCCAGTCCTTGGGGGGGGATCCCCATTTCCCAGTGGTCGGGGTCCCCAGAGTCCCCACTTCCCACACAGGGTTCCCATTGCCCCCCACGGGGTCCCCATTGCTACTTGCAGGTTCCCACGGCCCCAGGAGAGTCCCACTGTCACTGGGCCCCCGCCAGCCCTGTGCCCCCCCATACCCTCCCATCCCTCCCATGCCCACCTTGCAGCCCTCCCATGAGCTGACCCCATAGTGATACCTGGGAGGTCCCCATTGCCCCCATGGGGTCCCCACTGCCCCCCCTCGAGTTCCCACTGCCCCGGGGGGCTCCCACCACCACGTGGCCCCTCGTGCCTCCTGTCCCCCCCCTTGCCCACCTTGCAGCCCTCGCATGAGCTGACCCCGTAGTGATACCCCGAGCTCTTGTCGCTGCACACGAAGCACGGTTTGTACACGCGGGGGGGAGGTGGCGGTGAGGGGGGGCCCGTGTCCCCCAAAACCCGCCCGGGAGGGGCCTCCAGGGCTGGGGGAGGCACAAAAAGAGGGGGAAGAAGGGGTCAGGCAGATCCTCTGAACTGCCCCCAAAAAGGAAGGAGCGGGATCCCCCTGGATGGGGGGGTTGCCATGTTAAGCCTCCCTTCATCTTGAGACACCCCACCCCAAAAAGAGGGTCCAGGACCTCCAACCACCCCAAATCGGGTCCAACCCCCACAGAGGGGTCCTAAATGGTCCCTCAGTGGGGTCTGCACATCGTTGTGGCCTTCCCCCCAAAAAAAAACCAGGCCCCTCTTTCTGCCCCCCCCCAAACGTGTCCAGGATGCTGTGACTGCCCCTCAAAAACACGATTCAAAAAAAGAGTCCCTCCCAAAAAGGGGACCCTTCATATAGCTCCCACAGCCCCAAAACCTGAGTCTCAACCCCCAAAGCCCAAAACTCTTGTTAGGGAGGGTCCCATCCCCCCCAAATTCAGAGAGGGGAGGTCTCGAGGCCCCCCAAATGCCAGAATTCGAGTGGGGGGCCCCAGACTCCCAAATTCTTAGCAGGGGGGTCCCGAGCCCCCCCAAACCCTCAAAATTTGGAATGGGGGGGTCTGGGACCCCCAATTTCCCCCGAGGTGCCACCACGGGGGCGTGGGGGAACATCATCAGTGTCATCCCCCAATGCCCACCTTTGTCGCCCCCCTAAACCCAAAAACTCGGGGTAGGGGGTCCCCAGCCCCTTCCACCCTCCAAAATTTGGAGACAGGGAGTCCTGAGCCTCCATAAACGCCAAAATTAAGGGGGGGGGGGGTCCCAGCCGCCCCGAACCCCAAAATTCGAGGTGGGGGCGTCCCAAAACCCCCCTCACTGTGCCGGGGAGGGTGTGACACGGCGCGGGAGGGGAAAGAAGGGCCTCCCCGTGCACGGCCCGGGCGGTGCTGGAGGAGGGGCAGGCGGGTATTTTTTGGGTGGGTTTTGTATGTTTTTTTCCAGAAAACCCAAAATTGCTGAAATTAAAGAAATTCCGGCCTCGTCCGGCGCGTTTTTAACCCTGGAGGGGAAGCTGAGTGGCGGGGGGGCTGCCTTGGGCGTGCACGTGCCACGAACACCCCAAAATAACTCCCCCTTGACCCCCCCACCCTAAAAATGGGGCCGAAATGGGGGCCACACCCTCCCGCCCCCACACTCCCCTCTCCACGACGACCCCCCAAGTTTAGGGGGGGAGGCTAGTTGTGCCCCACCCGAATACTGGAGGGTCCCACGGAGGGTTGTGGAGGGCACATTTGGGGGACACTCCCATGTCTCGTTGGATTTTGGGGGGGGGAACCAAAATTTAAACCCCCAGCTCCAGAAAACAGCCCCCCCAAAGTGGCTACACCTCTTGGGGCAGCGGGGGCACAAAGTTATATATCCCCCCCAATTTTGGGGGGACCTCCAACTCCAAGGCGAGGGTTTAAATTGGGACGGGGGAGCACGGGGGATTCCCCCTCCATGGGGTGCAATTTGGGAGGCCAGGGGGGTTCCTCCCCAAAAATCGGGGGGTGACGCCCCTCCTCGCCCTGCTGAGAAGGGGGGACCCCCCCGCGACCCCAAAGAGGGATTGGGGCGATTCTGGGGCGGCCCCGCAGGGGTTAAAGTGCCACATTGGCAGCGCGAAGGGGGCCTGGGGGCGGGCGCGGCCCCGACTGGAACCAGTTGGGCAGAGGAACTGGGCGTGGGGGGGACACGGCAGGGAAAACCGCGCCACAGGCACGGGGGGAGCTTTAGGGGGGGGTTAGGGAGAGCTTGAGGGAAGTTTGGCGGGTTTTGGGGGTCCTGCCCCCCGCCCAACCTCTTTGGGCCCAATTTACACGAGGGAGGTTCTCGAGGGCACCCCAGGACCCCCCGCGTGGGTCCCTCCCCGAAAACCAAGTCCCTCTTATTGCCACCCCAAAGGGGTCCAGGACGCCCCCAAAAACAGGGTTTAGGGCCCCCGACCCCCCAAATCGAGTCCAACCCCCCCAGCGATCCCAAATGGTCCCTTAGTGGGGTCGACGTCTCTGTGCTCCCCCCCAAAACCCGGGTCCCTATTTCTGCCCCCCCAAACGGTTCCGGGACCCCACGAGCCCCTCAAATGTCCAAGTCCTCCAACCCCCCAGATAGAGTCCAAACCTCCCCAGAAGGGATCCCGAGTGGGGTCTCCACGTCTTTGTGCCCCCCCCGCCCTCCAAACCGCGACATCCTCAAAACCGGGTCCGGGACCACCCCCCCGCGAAGCGGGTCCCACAAAACCACCCCCAACACACTCCCCGGCTCCCTCGTTGCGGGGAGAGGGGGAATTGAAGGTCCCACACCCCACTCACTCCCCACGCGCTCACACGCCCCCCACTCGCCCCCCCTCCCATTTTTCCACACCTCTCACGTCACGTCACTCCCGTACACGCCCGGGTCGGTCCCGCACCCACGCGCGTCACTCACCGGCTGCCCCCACACCCACGCGGGGTCTTCCCCAACCCCCCCGGGTCACCTGAGCCCCCCCTTGCAAGCGCATTTGCACACTCGAACACGTCTACGCCCGCAGCCCTCTCCACACCTCCGCACCCACGCGAGGACACGGACACGCCCGCCCCCGCGCACCCACGGACCCCCCCGCGGACCCACCGACCCGTCCCGCTCCTTGCACACTCCCTGTCGCTCTCACACTCATTTGCACACTCAGAGACTCTTTTTCACTCCTCACACCCAGTCGCAGACCAGGAACCCACCGACCCTCCACGCACACAGCAACCCTCCCCGCTCCCCGTTGCTCTCATTTGCACACTCAAGCTCACAGACGCTTCCCCGCCCTCCCTCGCCCCCACACCCACTCGCAAACACGCCCCCACCTCCCGCGCCCAGAGCCCCCCTCTCCGCGCCGCATTCCTCCCTCAACCCTCTCATCCCCATGTCCCCCCCATGTCCCCCTCGTACCTCTGCGGGAGGGGGTCCCGCAGCTCGCAGGCACCAGGACTCTGCGCAGCGCGCAGCCCCCCCGGTTGGTCACATCGTGGAGCCGCCGCGGTGCCGCCGCTGAGTCCAGGCAGTCGAACATGGTCCCTCCGAGCCGCCCAGGAACCCCTGGAGCCCCCCGAGACCCCCTAACACCTCCCGCCCCCGCCCGCCCCGCCGCGATCGGTCCTGCTCGGCCCCGGCGGGTGCGGCCTGGCCACGCCCCCGGGAAGGGGCGGGGGCTGAGGGGTGGGGCCCGAGGGGCGGGGTGAATTGGGAGACTAGAAATGGGGCGGGGTCTGGAAGGGGGCGGGGCTCGAAGGGATGAATGGGTCTTGAGGGGCGTGACCCGATCAGGAATTTGGCGTGGCCTAAGTGGGGGCGGGGCCTCGGGGGTTGTGGTTGAGTACGAGTGGGGCGTTGTCTGACCAAGGGGTGGAGCTTTGGGGGGGCCTGGCGCCGCGGTCACACGCGTGGCCGCGCACACACGTGTCACGCGTGTCACACACGTCACTCGTGTCACACACACACGGTGTCACACGGCTCACACACACACTCCGGTCGCCAGGAGGGAGGGACCGCCCCGTCCAGCCCCCAGCCCCGCCCTCCTGTCACCCCCTCAGCCCCACCCAGTCCTCCCAGTCCCCTCCCAGTTCCATCCCGCGCACTCTTAATCCCTCCCACTCCTTCCAGTTTTCCCAGTCCCGATGTCACCTCCTCCAGTCCCTCCCCGTCCTCCCAGTCCTCATTATCTCACTCCCTCCAGCCCCTCCCAGTAACCCCGGTCCCCGTGTCACCCACTCCCCAGTCCCCTCCCAGTTCCATCCTGTGCACTCCCAGTCCCTCCCATTCCTCATGTTACCACCCGTCTTCCCAGTTCTCCCAGTTCCCCAATTCTCGCAGCCCCTGTCACCTACTAAGTCCCTCCCAGTCCTTCCAGTCCGTGTCACCGCCTCATTCTCTCCCAATCCTCCCAGGTGTCTGACTGCACAGGAGTGTGTGACCCCACACACGTGTCGAGGTGTGCACGAGTGTGTTTGTGTGACTGTGCACAGATGTGTGAGGCCCTACACACGTGTCCATGTGTGCACAGGTGTGTCCAGGTGTGCAACTTCCCCCACGAGCAGACCCAGCCCCCGAGGCAGCGATGGACATGGAATCACATGTCACTACATATGTGACACACCTGGACATGTGTCACTGCACATGTGACACACTTGGAGGTGGAATCACGTGTTCCTGCACATGGAACACACCTGGACACGTGTCACTGCACACGTGTGTGTGTCAACAGGGACCTGCACACGCATGTCAGGGAGGGGGGACACGTGAGGACACCCCCCCACACTGACACACGTGTCCTCCCTCACACGCGAGTAACCCCCTCCTCGTGCTTCAGTTGCCCCTGGAAGCCCCCCGGGCTGGAGAGCGGTTGGAGTGGGGGAGGGGCAGGGATGAGGGGAGAGGCGGGAATGGACTCATGGAAAAAATTTTGGGTGGAAATTCCTACCCCGCCCCTCCCCCCACCCGCGCCTCAACAGCCCCTTTGTGCGGACCCGGCCCCGCCCCCACAGGGCCGGGACCCCCCGGGGGTTCCTGGACCTCCGTGTGCTCCCCTTACTCGTGTGTGTCCCCCCCCGTGTTCCCCCATGTCTTCCCCTCGATGTACTCCCGGGTTCCCCCATTCATGTGTGTCCCCCCATGTCCGCCCCACTGTGTTTCCCCAACGTTTTTCCCCCCGCGTCCCCTTCCGTGTTTCCCCCATTCATGTCCCCCACTTGTGTCCCCCCATGTCCCCCTATGTCCCCATAGCCCCGTGTCCCCTCCTGTTCCCCGTGTCTCTCCATCTCCCCTTAATCCCGTGTGTTCTCCGTGTCCTCTCCATGTCCCCCACATTTCCCGTGTCCCCCGCCTCTCGTGCCTCTGTGCCCCTCAATAACATCGTGTTTCTCCCAATTGTGTCCCCCCATGTCTCTCATGTTCCCTGTGCCCCTCATATGCCCCATGTCTCCAATGTCCCCCTTGTCCCCCCCGTCCCCATGACCCCGTGCCGCCCAGTCGGTCCCCCTGTTGTCCCCCGTGTCCCCACAACCACGCGTTCCGCCACGTGCCCCCCCCTCGTCCCCCGCGGCTCAGCCGCTTTTCCCGGTAAATCCCGAGGGGAGGGGGGCCAGGGGTGGTGGTGGTGGCAGTGCTATGGGGCAGGGGGCGGAGGGAAGAAAGCGGGGTGGCAGTGCCATGGGGCTGGGCTGGCCGCGACCCTGCTCCCGTCGCCGCGGAGGGACTCTCGGGGCTGCCATCCCTTCCTCTGCCACGCCCCCGTGCTGCGCCCTCCTTCTGCCCCTCCCCGCTCTGCCCTCTCTGTTGCCCCCCTCCTTCTGTGCCCCCTCCCTGCTGCCCCCACCCTGTCACTCTCCTGGTGCCCTCCTGGTGTCCCCCCGCCCGCCCTGTCCCCAGTGTCACCCCCGCCCTGTTGTCCCCAGTGTCACCCCCAGCTGCCCCAGTGCCCCCCAGCCCTGCCACCCCCTTCCCTGTGCCCCCAGTGCCACCCCCTCCTGGTGCCCCAGTGTCACCCTCCGCCCTGTTATCCCCTTATTGCCCCCCTGCTCCCGCCTGCCCCCAGTGCCACCCTCCGCCCTGTCCCCCCCGTGTCACCCCTCTCCTGCCCCAATTGCCGCCCCCTCCTGCCCCCAGTGCCGTCCTCCCTCCTGCTGCTGCCCCCCCGCGCCGCCCTTCCCCCCGCCCTGCATCAGCATCAAGTGAGGGGGTCCGGTCCCTCCCAACACCCCCAGGGATCCCCCAGGGACCCCCGGACCCGGTGGCCGAGGTAAGGGGGGGACTGCGCCCCAGTTTGGGGAAACTGAGGAACAGGGGGGCAGGCGGGGGGTTTACACGGGACTGGGGCAATTGGGGGGGTGTGGAGCAATTGCACAGAGGAAGGTTGGAGCATTTGGGGGGTTTGCGCAAGGGCTAGGGCAACTAGGGGGGGGGAATTGCACGGGGAGGTGCACAAGTACTGGGGGGATTTGCACGAGGTTTGGAGCATTTGTACGGGGCTGGGGCAACTGGGGGCCCAGGCAGTTGTTCGCTCGGGGGACATTTGCTTGGGGGTATTTGCACGAGGACTGGGGCATTTGCACGGGGTATTTGGGGCAGTTGCTCGGGGTTGGGGCAGTTGCAGGAGGGTATTTGCTCGGGACCGTGGGCGTGTGACCCTGGGAGGGTGATCCCGGGGACCTCCGAATGACCTTCCCCTACGCGGGGTGACGTCAGTGTGACGTCATATGGGTGACACAGCACCGACCCCTCTGGGAGGGGTTATAGGGGTCCCCACCCCAAAGGCCCCCCCCCATATACCCCATGGTGGGAATTATAGGGACCCCCACACCAAAGGGACTCCATAGCCCTCCCATGGGGTGCCTGGGGGGTGTCTGAAGGAGTCCCTTTGGGGTGAGGGTCTCTATAATCCCCCAAAGGGAGTCGGGGGATGCCTATTGACCCCTTAGGGAGTAATGGTCCTGTGTCACGTGACGTGGGTCAAGATGGCGGCGCCCATGGGGAGGCGGAAGCGGAAGTGAGTCTGTGGAGGAGCCGCGCCGCCGCTGCGACCTCGGTGGGGCCCGGGGGGCTGGTGGGGCTGCGAGGTCTATGGGGATCCTATGAGAGGCCTGTGAGGTTGGAGGGCTCTGGGAGGGTCTGGGATAGTCCTGTGGGGACTATGGGAAGGTTGTGTTGGGGCCTGTGGGGGTCTGAAGGGTCCTACAGGGCTTCTGTGGCGCTAGGGGGGGCCTATAGGGGTCCATTGAGGGGTGTGGAGGTCTATGGGGGTCTGTGGGAAACCTGTGGGGCGTCTATGGGACCGGGAGGGCTCTGGGAGGGGTTGATGGAGAGTCCTATGGGGCCATATGGGGATCTTATGTGGGGGCTGTGGAGCTGGGAGGGGGCTATAGAGGGTCTGGGGAGGTGTGGAGGGGCTGTTGGAGGGTGTGGGAGTCTCTGGGGCTGTTTGGAGGGTCGGGGTTCCCGTAGCCCCCAGTAGGGTATCCTTGGGATGGGGGTGCCTATAGCCCTCTGTGGGGTGTGTGTGAGTCTGGGGTCTCTATAGCCCATCTAGGGGGTTGCCCTGGTGTGGTAGTCCCTAATCCCCCCCTGTGGTGTCCGGGGGTCCCTAACCCCCCTCCCTATATCACACGTGGGGGGTCCTTTTGAGTGCCCCCCAACTCCCTCCATCATTGACCCCCCTTTTCCCCTCACAGGCTGCCAGTTCTCCTCCCTTTAATGCCCCCCTCCCCATGATGCTCCTGCTGCCCCTCATCACCCTTCTGCTCCTCCTGCTGCTGCTGCTGCTCCTGGAGTTCCCCCCCCGGAGTCCCCCCAGCTCCAACCCGGCATTCCAGGAATTCCAGCGGCGTTTCCACCTGGGATTCCTGCCCGCCCTGGCGGCCGATTGGCTGCAGGGGCCTCACCTGTTCCAGGTGTTCCGCAGCAGGGGCTTCCTGCAGACACAGATCGCTGCCCTCTACTCACTGGGATTCGCCTCCAACTTGGTGTTCGGGCTCTTCTCCCACTTTTTTGTGGACCGGCTTGGCAGGAGAAGGTCCTGTGTGCTGTTCTCGGTGCTCTGCTCCCTGTCCTGCCTCCTGCAGCTCTCCCGGGATTTCCCGGCACTGGCGGCAGGGCGGCTTTTGGGGGGTGTCGGCACCTCCCTGCTCTTCACCTCCTTCGAGTCCTGGTACGTGCACGAACACCTGGAGCACCACGATTTCCCCCAGGAGTGGATCCCAGACACCTTCTCCCGCGTGGCCCTTTGGAACGGGGTCGTGGCTGTGGCCGCAGGGGCCGTGGCTGAGCTGCTGGTGCTGGGAGGGGGCCCCGTGACCCCCTTTGTGGCAGCCGTCCCCTTCCTGGCCTTTTCTGGGACTTTTGCCATGAAAAACTGGGATGAGAATTATGGAAAACGCCGCTCCTGCCCCAAGACATGCGGGGAGGGGTTGCGGGGGCTGCAGGACCCCACCCGGGCACTGCTGGGGGTGGTGCAGGCGCTGGTGGAGGGTGTGATCCTCATCTTCATCTTCCTCTGGACGCCCATGCTGGAGCCACTGGGGATCCCACTGGGAATCGCCTTCTCGGGATTTATGGCAGCAAGTGCCGTAGGATCATCCCTGTTCCGCCGGGCGGTCATGGGGGGGTTCCGGCTGCAGCCCCTGCACCTCCTGCCAGGGTCCATCGTGCTCCTGGGGGTCTCCCTCCTCCTCCTCACCCTCCCCCTGCCCCCACCCAGTGCCTTCCTGGTGTTCCTGCTGCTGGAATTCTCCTGTGGGATTTACTTCCCGGCCATGGGGTTCCTGCAGCGCCGGCTAGAGCATAGGGGGACCACGGGGGGGTCGCGGTGGCTGCGGGTGCCCCTGGGGCTGGGAGTGGCCCTGGCACTGCCAGCACTGCCCCCCGGGGAGGGGGGGGCACAGGGGGTGTTTCGGGGGGCGGCGCTGGCGGCGCTGGCAGCACTGGCAGCAGCTGGGGGGGTCCTGGTGGCGGCCCAGGGAGACCCACAGCTGAGGGTGGGAGGGGAGGAGGGGGAGGGTGGGATGGACACTGGGATGTGACGGGGACAGGGACGTGGGGACAGGGTCACTGGGATGGGGACGGTGACATCAGGATGAGGACAGCAGGATGGACACAAGGATGTGACAGGGACAGGGACATGGGCACAGGGACACCAGGCTGGACATGGGGATGTGGCAGGGACAGTGACACCAGAAGGGGGACAGTGAGCTGGACACTGGGATGTGATAAGGACACCAGGATGGGGACACCGGGATGTGACAATGACAGAGACACAGGGACTATGACACCAGGCTGGACACCTGGATATGACAAGGTCACAGTGTCAGTTTGATGGGGACAACAGGCTGTGATTGGCACAGTGACACGGGGCCAGTAGGACAGGGATATCAGGCTGTGACAGGGTCACAGTGTCAACCCCACATTGGGCTGTGACTGGGACAGTGACACGGGGCAGCCCAACAGGGACACTGTCACAGTGTGACCCCCCACTGTGACCTGGTCACTGGGACAGCACTGTGGGGACACTGAGCAGTGAGAGGATCATGGGACCAGTGTCACATCCACAATAGCATCTGGGTGACAGGGACACCAGGACACCCCAGTGGTGACACTGAGCTGTGATAGGATAACAGTATCACCCCCACAATGGCCCGTGGGCGACAGTGATACCAGGACACTCAATGGGGACACCCTTACAACAAGCTACAGATGACAACACTGGGACATTCGATGGGGACACTAATCTGTGACAGGGTCACTGTGTCACCCCCATGATGGACTTCGTGTGACAGTGACACCAGGACACCCCAGCAGGGACACCAGGCTGTGATGGGGCCACGGTGTCACCACAATGGGCTGTGGGTAATGACACTGGGACACCCCAGTGAGGACACTGAGCTGTGATGGGATCACAGTGTCACCCCCCAAACCAAGGGACTATGGAGGGGCCATGGGGACACCAGGGTGTGTGTCCCCCCCATCTCCCCTTGGGGTGGCCTTGTGGTGTCCACGGGGAAGGTCTATTGATGAATTAATAAATTATTTTTTAATACCCCCCCCCCCAAATCGAGGTGTTTGTGAAGCCCCGCCTGGTTTGGGGGTCAAATGGGGGTGGGCAGAGCACAGCCACTGGGGACACCGCCCAAAACCTGTGTCTGGGAGGCCACCAAGCCACTGACCCCCGTAGTGACCCTCCCAGTTCAAACCCGTGACTCCCAGTCTGCCCCCCCCCTCCCAGTTCAGACCAGTGATGCCTCCCAATTCAAACCAGTGACCCCCAGTTCAAACCCTGACTCATTCCCTAATTCCAACCATTTTTAATTTCCAAAAGGGGGGGCAAGAAGTTTTGGGGGCACTTCCAAAACGAGAGGGAGTCTCAGAGGTTTGGAGGGTGCAGGGGACACCCCAAAACCCTGATCCCACAACCCCACAGTCCCAAAATCTCTCCATTCTGGAATCCTGAGATCCCTCTGGCTCCTTGTGTAATTGCAACCACTTTTAATTACGAGGGGGGCAAAAAATGCACCCCCAAAACTTTTAATTACGAGGGGGGCAAAAAATGCACCCCCAAAACATCGGGGAGGAGGGGGGTCTCAGGAGCTTGGGGGGTGCAGGGTATCCCCCCAAAACACCAATCCCATTATCCCACAATCCCCAAACCCCTCAATTCATTTATTTATCCCTCAGGCTCAGCTCTTTGCATAATTCCAACCAATTTTAATTCCCGGGGTGGGGAGCACAAAGCACACCCCCAAAACAACCGGGCGGGGGGCTCAAGGCTTGGGGGCCTCAGGGGACACCACAAAACTCCGAGCCCACAACCCCACCATCCCGTTATACCACGAGCCTGCTGTTCCTCTATCCTGGAATCCCGAGATCCCTCCGGCTCGTTGTGTAATTCCAACCGTTTTTAATTCACGAGGGGTGGGGCACAAACCACACCCCCAAAGGATCGGGGAGGGGGGGTGTCTCAGTGGCTTGGAGGGTGCAGGTGACCCCCCCATATCCCCAACCCCCTTATCCCATGACCCCAACCTCCCCTCCCGAATCCCATTATTTCCCCCTCCGGCTGTTGCGTAGTTCCAACGTTTTTAATTCCCTGGGGTGGAGGGGGGGCAGGAAACGCGCGGAGCCGCCGTTACACAAAGCAGGAAAGAGAGCTGTAATTTTTTTTTTTAGGGGGGGGGGGGCGTCCTCTTTTTCTCTCCCTTCGCACCCCAAACACCCCACGGCAAAAAATCCCGTTTATTTTCCCATCCCGGGGTTGGGAAAACTCCCCCTTCCTCCCCCAACCGCCCTTAATTCGGGTGATTCCTGAACCCCCTCCCCGGCTTTTTGTCCGGGGGGGTGGCGGGCGGGACTCCCTCAATTTTTGGAAGTTCACCCCCTTTTTCTCGAGATTTTCCCCCTTTTTCCCCCCTTTTTCCGTCGCGTATCCGGGGAACGGGATGACGGGACCTTCCTGTTCCCGGCCCCGCTCCCGCCTCGCTCCCGGGGGCTCCCCCCGAAACGACCCCCCCGGACCTCCCGCACCCCCCAGAGTCCCCCCAAAACCAGCCCTGGAGCCCCCCGGACCCTCCGGGACCCCCCAGGAACGAGGTCCAAAAGGGGTGAGTCGGGGGGCGATGGGGGGGTTGTTGAACAGCCATCTTGGGGGGCGGGAAGGGGATTGGGGAACATTGGGAGACACCCCCTTCCAAATTTAGGACCCCCGTGTTGGATTTGGGGAGGGAAAGGCGATTGGGGGGACGAGGAGGGGGCGATGGATGGGGGCGGGGCGGGGCAGGAACGGTCGTTTTCAGGTTCGTAAAGGCGGGGGGGGAGTGGGGACCCCTCGGAACATTGGGAGACCCCCCAAAAAAAAAAAATTTGGGCCCTCCCCGTGTTGGATTTGGGTCGGGGGAAGGCAATGGGAGGCGATGTATTTTGAGGCGGGGGATGGGGATGAACAGCCATCTTTGGGGTTGGGGCAGAGAGGAGTGTGGACCCCCTAGAACAGTGGGAGACACTCCCCCCCATAATTTGGGACCCCCCCGTGATGGATTTGAGGCGGGGGAAGCGATGGGGAAGGATGGTGGATTTGGGGGGGGCGAAGAATGAGGCGCCGTTTTTGGGGTTGTGAAGGGGGGGGACGCCCCGGAACATGGGGAGATCTCCCCCCCCCACCCCGAATTTGGGACACCCCCCCCTCCGTGTTGGATTTGGGGGGAAGGGACGCTGTGAGGGGACGCAGCGATGGACTGGGGGGGGATGAACAACCATCTTTGGGGTTGGGGGAGGGGAAGGGAATGGTGACCCCCCCGGAACACTGGAAGACTGCTCCCCAAAATTTGAGATCCCCGTGTTGGATTTGGTGGGGGGAGGGCCCTGACTCCCCCAGCGATGCTACAAGACCTCTTTGTCCCCCCTAAATGTGGGTGGGGGGCTCAGTTCAGCCTCTCCCAGCCCTGTTTCCATTGGGGGGGGGGGTACAAGGGACCCCCCTGGGACCTCCCTGTCACCCCCCCATCCCCCTCCCCCCAGATTTTGGGGGCTGAGTGTGGAGCAACCATGGAACCCCCTGAGACAACCCAAGGAACAGGTAAGGGGGGGAACAGAGGGGCCACAGGGGCAACTGGGGAGGGTGAAGAGGGGTTAGGGTCACATTTGGGGGGGCACAAAGGAATGGGGGATCACTCAGAGGGATTTTGGGGGGACAAATGGACTTGGGGGGAAACAAAGGGATTTGAGGTCACACAGAAGGATTTGGGGGGGCACAAAGGGGTTTGGAGAGCACAGAGATTTAGGGAGGAGCACACAGAGAGGTTTGGAGGGGAAACAAGGGATTTGGCATCTCATTTGGGGGGACATAGAGGGATTTGGGTGGCACAAAGGAATTGGGGGGGTAGCAAAAGGATTTGGGGTTACACAGAGGGATTTGGGGGGCACAGAGGGATTGGGGGGGTAGGAAGGATTTGGGGGGCACCCCCCCCAAATCCCTGGATTCAGAGGATCCATTCCCAGCTCAGCAGAAAACGGGATACAAAGGGTCCTTTGGGATTTGGGAGGGGGGGGGTGTCTCTGGGGTTGGGGGTTCCCATGTGTGTTTTGGGGTGCTCATGACCCCCCTGTTTCCCCTTAGGCCCCCCAAACCCCACCATGGAGCAGGAGGAGCCTGAAGTGGTGGAGCTGCAGGACTCGGATGAGGGGGATGAGGGGGACGTGGTCAGGAGGGTCTTCATTGGTGAGGGGGGGGGTGTTTCAAAACTGGAGGAGCTCCAGGCACCCCAGGAGGGGGTGTATGAGCAGTTTGGTGGGGTCCAGGCACTTCAGGATGCACTTTTGGGGTGTAGTAGGTACCCCAGGAGCGGGGTGCAGTGACTTTTGGGGAGCTCCTGACACTTTTGGGCGTTCCATGTATTTTTAGGGTTCTCCAGGCACCTGAGGAGGAGGGTAGAGCCCCTTTTGGGGTACAGTCCCTTTTTGCAGCACAGTAAGGGGGTACAGACCCTTTGAGGGCATTTGGGGGGGTTACAACCCCTTTTGGGGTCTCCAGCCTCTCTGGGAGGGAGTACCTGTTTTCGGGCACAGTGGCAATTTAGGACAAGGGTGCAGACCTTCTTGGGGCACAGTCAGGGGGGTGCAGCCCCTTTCAGGGTGCAGTGACCATTTTGGGGCACAATGAAGGAGTACAGCCCATTTTAGGATACAGTGCCTATTCCTGGGGGGTCACAACCCCTTTTGGGGTCTCCAGGCACGCTGGAATGTGGGTACAGACCCTTTTGGAGTGCAGTGATCATTCCTGGGGGGGGGTTACAACCCCTTTTGAGGTGTGGTGACCATTTTGGGGGGTACAAACCCTTTTGGGGTCTCCAGCCACCCTGGGTTGGGGCTACAGCCCCTTTGGAGGGGCAGTGAGGGGGTTACAGCCCCTTCTAGGGCACAGTGTCCCTTCCCGGGGTCAGCACCTCTGATTGTTGGTTTCCCTCCCTCCAGCTGACGATGGCATCGTGAGTGAGGATGATGAGGAGGAAATTCTGCCGCAGGAGATTATCCAGACCGTGATCCCCCACAGCCCCCTGTGCTCCCCCGGGCCGCGGGCACCCCCGGGCCCCTCCCAGGGCGGGTCCGAGGAAGGGGGGGGCCGTCGGGGGGGGGGTCGGCAACGCCCCTTTATCTGCAACGAGTGTGGGAAGAGCTTCAGCCACTGGTCGAAGCTGCTGCGGCACCAGCGAACCCACACCGGGGAGCGGCCGAGCACCTGTGGGGAGTGCGGGAAGAGCTTCTCCCAGAACTCCCACCTGGTGCAGCACCGCCGCACTCACACTGGGGAAAAGCCCTACAGGTGCGGCCACTGCGGGAAGAGCTTCTCCTGGAGCTCCAACCTCATCCAGCACCAGCGGATCCACACCGGGGAACGGCCCTATGGCTGCTCCGACTGTGGGAAGAGCTTCACGCAGAGCAAGAACCTCATCAAACACCAGCGAACCCACGCGGGGGGGGCGCGACCACGGAGAGCCCCCCAGTACCCTGGGAAGCCCCCCAGGGCGAGGGGGGAGTCCTCGGGGGTGGAAGGGGGAGAGGAAGGGGCTGGGGAACCCTTGATCTGTGTGGAGTGCGGGGAGAGCTTCGCTCGGAGCGCAGCACTGAGGAAGCACCGGAGGGGGCACCTTCCACTCTTCGGGCCCTGAGGGGATTTGGGGACACCATGGAGGTGACACCACGGACAGTGTGACATGGCCCTGGCACGGGGACTGGCTGCTGTTTTTGCCACAGAGGACATGGGGACACTGCCATGGACAAGGGCACACAGGGCCCGTGGGGCACTGGAGGGGGCATCACCCACTTTGAGGGGACACAGGGACATCGTGGAGAGGACACATGGACAGTGGGACATGGCCTTGCTACTGCAGAGGGCACTGGCTGCTGTTTGGGACATGGGGATACACGGACAGGGGACAGATGGACAGTGGGACACTGCCCTGGCACTGGAGGGGGCACTGACAGCTCTTTGTGCCCTGAGGGGACACAGGAACCATGTGACACCACACCAGGGGACACACGGACTGTGCCACAGGCAGCTCACACTCACAGAGCTGGGGGCACAATGCCACACACAAAGGGACACGGTGTCCCCAAATCCCCCCGTGTCACCCCATGTTCCCGTGTCACTGCAGTGCCCCCCAGGACCCCTGTGTTACCCTCAGGACCCCCCAAGTGCTTTCCAGTGCCCCCGTGTCACCCCCAATGTCCATGTCGGTGCCAGAACCCAAAGCTGTAAATATTGCGGGGAGGGGGGACACACACACAGGAAGGTGGGATCCCTGGGGGGAGTGGTGACATCGGGACCCCCCTGTAGGCAAGGGGAGGAGGGGCCAGGACTATGAATAAAGTTGTGTTTGGGGGACCTGGGGGGTGTTTTTTGGGGGAGGAGGGGGCAAAAATGCCCCCCATGGGGGCTGGTAAAACCCTAGGGGGGGTAAAGAGTCCTTAAGGGGGGAGTTTTGGGGGATTCAGGGGTTGAGGGGGGCAGCAGGATTTTGGGGGAGGCAAATGGGGGCCCCAAAACTGGGACATGGCTGAGGGGAAACCCCAAACACAAGGAGGGGGGTCAAGGGGGCCCCAAAACCCAAGAGGGGAGTTGGGGGACCCCAAAACCAGGAGGGGAGGTTGGGGGGCCCCAAAACCAAGGAGGGGGTTGGGAGAGCTGGGGGGTCCCAGGAATGGGAAGGGGGAGTCAGGGCGACCCCAAAACTAGAAAGGGGGTCAGGGAGGGCCATGAGAGCAGGAAGGGGGATCCTAAAATATGAGGGGGGGAAGTGGGACCCTAAACCCGGGAAGGGGGTCCCCCAAATTGTGTGGGTGTAGGTGTGGCAGAGCCCCCCCACCCCAGTAAATGGGACACCCCTGTATCTCAAGACCTCCCCAAAAGCCCCCCAGCCCCATTCAAAAACCCTCCCAGGACCCCCCATTCCATCTCTCCTTTATTGGGGGTTTGGCAGCAAAAGCTGCTACAAAACAGGGGGCAGGGATCTGGGGGAGCTGGAGGGGCTGGGATTTGGGGGGGCCACCTCCCAAGTCCCCCTGAGGATGAGAAGGATGAAGGGGAGGTTACGCCTTGGCCCCTGCCGGGGCCGTCGTGAGCTGCTGCAGCTTCTGTGTCATCATCTCCAGAACGGCTGGGGGAGACAGGGGGGTCAGGGGAGACCCCAAATGGGGGGAACCCCAAAACCCAAGGCGGGGGCACCGGGGACAGGGGGACCCCAAAATCGGGGGGTGGATGTGGGGGTCAGGGCACCCCAAACCCCAGGGGACCCCAAAACCGGGGGGGGGTTGGGGGGAGTTGAGGTTCCCCCCAGCCCTGGGGGAGTCAGGGAGGCCATGGGGGGTCCCCCAAAGCCAGGGATCCCAGGGGAGTGCCCACCCTGTTTCATGGCGTGTTTCTCCTGCAGGGCCGGTTGGATTTTCTCCATTTGCCGCGTCAGGAACTCAATTTTCCGCTGGAAAAACGCCCGGGCAGCATCCGCAGACTGGGAATGAGGGACGGGAATGGGGATAGTGCGATAATGGGAATGGGGGTAAGGGGAGGATAATGGGAATAATGGAGGGATAAATGGGATAATGGGAATGGGGGGATAGTGGGGGGGGGTAATGGGAATAATGGGGATAATGGGAATGGGGGTAATAATGGGAATAAATAATGGGAATAATAGGAATGTGGGGAAATGGGGGAGGGGAATGGGGGGAAATGGAAGAAATACAAATGAGGAATGGGAATAATGGAAACAGGATTGATGGGAATGGGGGAATAATGGGAATGGATTGGGGGAGAAGAGGGTGGGAATGGGAATGGGGGAGGAATGGGATGAGAATGGAGGTGAGAAAGGGGGTGGGAAGTGGGGAAAAGGGAGGAGATGGGATGGGAAAGGGGGAAAAGGGGGGAAAAAAGAGGGAAAAGGGACGGGAAGGGGAAAAAAACAAGATGAGAGCAGGGCAAACACCCTCCCCCAGGCTCCCCTTGGGCCACTCCTCCCCTCCAAGACCCCCCGGAACCCTCCAGACTCCCTCAGGGCTCCCTCCCAAGCCCCCCAAGAGCTCCCACCGTGCCATTCAGAGCCCCTAAAAGCCCACTCCAGCAAGAATCCCCCAAACCCCCTCCACAACCCCCAAACCCCCAAGGCCTCCCCCCACCTTCTCTACGTAGTACCCGGTGCCCACATCCACCAGGACCCTCCTGACGTCCGAGAGCTTCCCAGGCACGTACATCTGGGAGGGTCAGGGAAAAGGGGGCACAGAGGGCAAGGCAGGTCTGGGGAGGTCTGAGGGGGTTCCAGGGAGGGGTTTGAGGAGTCTGGGATGGGGCTCTGTGGGGGTTTGAGGGATCTTCACAGGGCCTGAGAGGGTTTGTGGGAGTCAGGGAAAAGGGGGGTCCTGGTGGGGCACAGAGACACCCCCACCCAAAGGAGAGGGATCATGGGGGAGTTAGGGAAAAGGGCAGTCCCAGAGAACAAAAAATGGGTCTGGAGGGCACAGGGGGGGCTCTGGGGGGGCAGCAGAGCCTGGGGGAGCACAGAGACCCCTGGGGGGGGCCAAAGGATACAGAACTGGTGAGAGGCACCAGCAGGTCCTTCCCTGGAAAAAATGAAGGGGGGATCAAGGGGGGCTGGGAAGACCCCCTGAGACCCCCTACAGAGACCTAGGACCCTCCAGAAGCCCCTCTGGGACCCTCGTGATCCCAAACAGTCCCTGGGACCCCCCCGAACCCTCCCAACACCTCCCTGGGCCCTCCAACATTCCCAAGGACGCCCTTTAGACCTCCCAAGGGCCACCCAGCAGCCCCCCAGTGCCCCCAAGCCCCCTGTGCCTCCCCACAGCCTCCCCCGGGATCCTGTGTACACCCCCAAGGGCCCCCTCTGAGGCCCCCCAGGTTGGGGCCCCCCTGACCCTCGTTGCCCTTGTTGAGCACGTTCAGACACTCCTTGGCCTCCACAAACTTGGTCTGGACCACTTTGAGCTGGGCCAGGGACGAGGAGAGGAACTCCACTTCCTGGGGGAGCACGGGAGGGCTTTAGGGGTCTAGGAAGGCTCGGGGGGTCCCCAGGGCTGGTGGGGGAGCAGAGAGGGCTCCCTCAGAGCCCCCCCAGCCCCCAAGACCCCCTGATCCCAAAGCTCCCCTAACCCGTCCCAGACCTCCACAACCCCCAGGACGCCCAATTCCCCCACCACCTGCTCCAGCTGCCCCTTGCGCAGCCCCAGCTGGGACCCCCAAAACCCTCCAGAGTCCCCTCTGATCTCCAAAGCCCCCTCAGCCCCCAGGATACCCCATAAATCCTTCCCAGACAGCCATAACCCCCAGGACCCCCAACCCACTGCAGCTGCCCTTTTAACACTTCCAGCTGGGACCCCCAGCCCTTCCCAGGACCCCCAAACCTGCTCCACCGGGGCCAGCCCCATCTTACCCTCAGCCCCCGCCCCCCGCCTCCGATCCCCACACTCTCCGCAGACCCCCCCCGGCTCCCGAGACCTGGTCCAGCTGCCCCTTGAGCAGCTCCAGCTGGGGCAGCCCCAGCTCCCCCACGCTCACGGTCTGCGCCATCTTGGGCCGCCCCGCCCCAGGACCCGCCTTGGCGCGAGAGCGCCCCCTGTCGGGCTGGAGGAGCGCGGGGGGCGGTCCTCATGCCCACCCCACCCCGGGAAAGGCGGGGGCAGGGTAATGCCCCCCTCCCGCCCCCCTCCCCACCCCGAGAAGGGGGGTCCTAATGCTCCCCCGCGAAAAAGGGGGGTCGTAAAAGCCCCTTCACTCGAGGGAAAGGGGGATGCAAGGTCTCTCATAGGGAAAAGGAGGGGATCTGACCCCAGAGAAAGGGGTCTGAATGCCCCCCCAGGGGAAAAGGGGGTGTCCTCATGCTCTCCCCAGGAGAAAGGGGGTGGTCTTAATGAGAGACCTGGGGGGACCCAGGGAATCTTGAGTGGGTCAGAGAAACTTGGGGGGGCCCAGTGGGAGTTGGGCGCTCAGAAACACTCAGAGGGGGGTGGGATAAAGAAGCAGCAGCTTTTATTTATTTTATTGTTGCAGAAACTCGAATAAAAACAATTTTATTAAAATAAATTAAGGCTTGCAAAACTCCCCAAAACAGGCAGGGGACCCCAAAACAGACACAGACACCCCAAAAGGCCCCATGAGGGTAGGGGACCCCAAAATCCTCAGCAAGGCAATGGGGGGACCCCTAAGGTAACAAGGGGACTCCCAAACAATGGGGGGAACCCTCCAAACATCGCCACAGGGAGATGAGGAGCCTGTAGGTAAGGGGGGAACCTAAAACCAACTGGGGGACCCTCCAGCCCACACCACAAGCCATGGGGGGGAGCCCAAAGACCATGGGAGGGATGCCTCTCAGCTGAGGCTCACGGGGAGCCCATAGGCCACGGGCGCAGCCCCGATGAGGGATTTGAGTCGGGGAGCCTGGCGGGCCTGGGCCAGGTGGGGTAGAAGAGGGGTCCTGGGCCCCCTCAGCCAACCCTGCAGCAGGGCCTGGGCAAAGCGGTCCAGGTCCCGGTCAGTGACGTCCCACAGTGTCCCCAGCACCAGGGGGCTGCAAAACAAGGGGGAGAGTCCACCCAATACAGGCTGTGAGAATGGAGAGACCCCCCAGAGTCAGAGACCCTCCAAATTCCCAAAGTCCCCCTCAAACTTAACATGCAGAGCCACCCAAAGCCACAGAGGCCCCCACAGCCACCACTCAGCAACCATGTATTTGAGAACGGTCCCCGTGGGTTCCAGGCCCCCCAGATCCCCCAACCTCCCCCCAAGCACCTCCCAGGCCCCCCAGAACTCACCACCCGGCCATGATGTATCTGAGCACGGTCCCAGTGGGCTCCAGACCCCCCTTCAGGGCCAGGGCAGCGCTGGAGCAGCCGAAGAGCAGCACCACAGCCCGACATTCCAGCCGGGAAAGGGTCTGTCTGTCCAGGAGTCGCATCCCCGATCCATGCCCCGCATAGCTGGGGGACACAGACCCCTGGAGTGAGCCCCAGGGGTCCCCAGAAGCCTGGAAATGGGGGACAGAGGTTCCCCAAAACCCAGGGAGGGGGGAAGAAGGTGTTGCTGGGGTTCACCCCCTCACCAACTCTGAGCTCTGACCCTCCAGGGACCCCCCCAAAACCCCACTCACATGTACAAGTCATGCTCCAGAAGGGCCTCCTGGATCTGCTCTGGGGTCGGGATGGAGCCAGACACACCGTGCCAGCCGGGCTCACTGTGGGGGATGGGGGAATTGGGGGGGCAGAGCCACCCCAGAGGGAACAGGGGCAGGATTTTGGGGTGTAGACACCCCCCAGGGGGATAGGAGCAGGATTTGGAGTGTAGACCCCTTGACAGGAGGGATAGGGACAGGATTTGGGTTGCAG